TGCTTTGCCCCCGCTTTCTTCTTATCCGTTCTCCCATTATTTCCCGTCAAAATTAGTTTGGTGTATTACAAGACAAGAATTCAACAAGTTGCATCTAGTTCTACCCTTTACGCGCCCGTTTCCCGGCATTCTTAGCCTTTAGGTGTGATTGTTGAGGCTCGCCTTCTCCTGGTAGCGCTCGGTGCTGCGAGCGCCGAGCTGCGTATTTTGATTCTTGGGGGGCGAATGTAACTTGTGTGGATTCGCATTACGAGTCAATGGAATCACTCTGCGACAGTAATCACACACAACAGTGTATGTTTTCTGAGCCAGGTTAAATTTGATCGGGTGCACACTGCCGTCCTTCAAGGTGATCTGCGTCAATATGTCGGGAGTCTTCTTTTTTCGCATCGTAAAGTGAGTAGGAGAGAATGTTTTGAAAGTATTGATTATCGCTAGATAGTACATGGGTAGCCAAGCAATAGCCAAGTCACGCTCTGTCACGCTCTCAAAAAGGAAATTTTTTGGAAGGACACGGTACCAGTTGATAACCGCGGAAAGTGCCGGTGAAGACCCCCTGCAAGCACATGACGTCAGCATCTTGAACTTCTCTTCCTCTCTTCCAACATTGACCCTTCGATACGTCGAGGCCCCATAAACAATCCTCCGCACGACTGAAAAGACCTGAAATATGCTTCTTGATCCTCTTGGTAACATTTCGGGCTTGGAGCGTGTCATTTCCGCCGTTCTTGACCCCGAAACTCAATAAGTACGCGCTTGGCTGACAGGATTGAGCGCAAAAAGTTCAAGCTTCAAGTTCGAATCCGTTAGAGCATGGCCGGCTCTTTCGGTCGACTCTATCTCGTATTTTGAGACTTTGAGGCCATGGCGACGCACGGGGAAGCGGGATTTTAGTGCTGGGCCGACGGTATGTCTCAGTTCTCTTTTATGAATTAATGTACAATACGCTCCAGCTATTTCCACAGAAGGTGCTAGAAGATGCGCCCGCCCTTGTGCATCGCTTGTCTACGCTGTAAACAGATGTTTTGTTTTGGCCATTTTTTTCCGGCTGGATTCAAGTGTCATACGAAGCTGGCACGTAACATCTTCGTGTTACTCCTTCTACACCTAACTAGTTCCAGAATATTCAGGAAGTGCGCCAGCTTATCACTTCTTTGGGACCTTTGTGCCTTGGCGACGCGGAGAATTTTAATGGGTCGTCTCAAGCTATGCACGTTGTTCATCCTTTTCAAGTTCGCGTTTTCAGTGCTAAACGGAGGACGCCACTTTTAGATCTAATGCACTCGAAAGTAAACTTCCTCTACCGCAAAGGCTCTGCTGCCCTGTTCATGCGTCGGTAGCACGTTATTGCATTGGGTCCGGACAGCCAGTCTTTTGCGGTCTTTGCAACCGTATCAATGCTTCCCAGCGAGTGCTTCGAGAGAGCATCTTATCCGGGGCCGATGCATATATGAATAACTTCGTTTCACGCACGTCGTCAGATCTGGATTATCTGAGGGACGGTGCTACACGACATGTCGAACCCATTAGTCATAGCATCGGTGTACGAGTGGGAGCGCTTAAAAAGGGCCTCCTATGTTCCCTGGGGTACGACACCAATCATCGCATTCATTCATTTTGCCCGAACGACGACATAACGAGGCGACACCTCACGTTGCCGACCTACTGTTTCTGCAGGAAGTCCGATACCGGTGACCAGTCTGTGGTCGAGGTACGGCTTGAACACAATCCAGATGTTGAGTTGTTGACCGTATCCACACATTACAGTCGTCACTGTCTACTCAATGGGTGTTGCACTTGCTTGGTAGATCACACAATCGTAGCTAATCATATGCCCCAGGTAGGCTTGGACATTCTTCCGGCTCGACATGGATTTTGGAAGTGTTTCCGGTCATAGTGTAGTTCTTGGCAATGCGATATGATGCCTCGCCGGTGGGGAGATATGCGGCTGTACCGACGTTAAGGTAAATCTCACTGAGTGTTAATCCTCTTCCGTTCACTGACCCGTTTGTCTAGAGTTAGCCTTTCGTGCCCTTTACCTTCTGCGCGCTCAAGATCTTCTTGGCATACTGCACTAGTACCACATGATCAATGCATTTGAGAACTGCTGCTATCGCCTTCGTATATTCGTTGAGTAGGTCATTCACTCTAGGTATTTAGTGGCGTCGTTCTTACTCCGTCGAAAGGTTGGCAATTTACAGACACCGGTGAAGCGAGGTTCCGGTTCGATCTACACTGAATTCATTTACGGGACGTCATGATGGGAGTGATGCGAAATGTATGGACTATTGTTGCACACGTCGAAGGCGCTATTCAAAATGCAGAGACAGGCCAGAATATGATCTCTGCAATTCAATTATCATGGTACTTTAGTCATGAACTTAGGTTGACAGGTCACGACCGCAAGCCAGTAAGACAATCCGTTCAGCGGTATTGCTATTGAGTTTGGACGAGAAAGAATATACCCCGGTAGTGTAAGTTATATGCCACAATGGTTTGCTGCATCAAATCTCTGACTTCCATCCAGTTTCCAATAAATACGTTGGCTCTGAACGTCGTGTTTCATCGACGCCACACCCACTCGGGCGAACCCTTTATCGATCCATGACTGTCGGAATTGGATTGCAATCTGAGCATATTGACAGAAGGATGTACTATGGCTCAAAACTGACATTCCTGGAAGTCTTGGTGTTCAATGGAGTGCTAGATTGGGAAGGTTACGGACATTCAAACGTTAGAATCCCAAGTTCAAGATATTGACATTCTACAGCATAGCTCGTAACCAATACACGGGCTTATACCTGTGCTCTTGAAAGAACATCTGACCCCTACTTGAATTTATACTATCTCCAGTGGATATTTTCTTGTGCGTTGGGATCGGATGATTGGACGAGTATGGATGTATATAAGAAGTGTCTGTTTTGCATGTCTCCCCAGCAATCTCAGCAACCACAAGAAAACTCAAGATGTCGACTCAAGGTTCATACGTTCTCTCTTTTACCACTATTCTACTCACCTTCTTTACGTAGTTCAAGTTGTACCCATTGAATGGCATAAAGACCACCACCGCGCCATCGAAGTTCCGCGCGATGGAGGGTCAGAGACTTACCATGTCTTTGCCATAGCCGGTCCTCCCGTCTTTGGCGACGTCAAAGGACGCTACAATATCGATATCGAAATTCCCATAGGTCCGATCATCCTTGAAGTCAGTGATTCGAGCTCTCGGTTTGGAATTTTGCCCCTTGATTAACGCGAACCACTTTTGTAGCTCAAGGGATACATCGACCTGGGTAATCTCGATGCTGATATTTACGCCTACATCAAAGTTCCTATTTTTGGTACCTACCAAGTCGGCGAACTCAAAGGGAACCTGAAAACCGGCATCAGCATTAGCGTCGGAATACCAGGCATTCTCTCTGGTACTATCACCCTTTACGCTAAAGACGGCTGGCTCTGGATCAAGTTCTCGCTCACCATCTTTGGCAAAACTTATACGGCTGAGTTCAAATTGATCCCTATTCCACCAATCTAAAGGCCCGGGTAAATTCTTGGTGCCACCATTTCTGTTGCGAGTCGTCGCTGACCTTGAACTCGTTGTAGAACACCGTTACGACGGGCCATGATGGCGGCGGTGCCCCATGAAATTATTCCCTTTTCTTGAAGCTTCGTTTTGGAAACAGAAAAGCACGAAATTGTTTCATCATTTCTCTCAGCAAAACCCACAAAACCCACAAAACATTGTTCTATATGTACAGTAGCTCTTGTGTCCACAAGGATTGTATTATGAAGTTCCTTGCCAAATACGGCTTTTACACGGAATAACTGGCATGGATCGAAATGGGTCTGGAAAGCTGAGGGACAGCGCCACTCGAAGTTGTGACAGTTCGTGACAACCAAACCCGCGAGCACATGACGTCAGCATTTCTCTTTTGCTCTCTTCCCCCATTGTATCCCTCGACACGCTCGACTCGAAACCTCGTACGCGACCCTCTGCGCATTCTAAAACCCCCCGGATATGCTCTAAGAGTCTCCATGAAGCATCTTTGGGTTGGAGTATCTGTCATTTCCACCTGTTTTTAAACCGCGAGCTGAATACGCGTTTCGTTAACAGGAATTGGGCACAAAAGCTTCAAGCTTCAGGTTTGAGGCTATTGGGGCAAAGCTGCCATATTTAGTCAACTTTCTTGCCTCCTTTTGAGACCTTTGGGCCCAGGTGATGCACTGGGATGGAGAATCTCGGGTACACGTTGCTGGGTCGACGGTATGTCTCAGTTCTCTTTCGTGGGCGAGCCTTCAATATACTCAGCGATTTGCATGGAAGATATTGAAGATACACCCTGCACGCTATTATGTGTCGCTTGCCCGCGCTATATATGACGAGAGTTGTCGCCATTGTTGGGGTCTGTTATCGACTGAGAACAGGTGCCTTTGGTTTTATACAGTGTTATGAGGCCGGTACGTCTCGTCCTTGCGGAACTCCTTTTGTATCCAACTCAATTTCAACCCAGGAATTCCAGTACTGATGCCAGCAGCTCGTCGCTTTGAACGACTTTAGTCTCAGAACCTTGGACCCGACCTCGATCTCGAGACATTTTTCGTCTTATCCAGTCGACCCAAATGCTCTCTATGCACATTCTGTCGCATTGCCAGCTTATAGCTGCAGCTCGATATACATATACCAGCTACATCCCCATCATCACCCTCAACGCAGGCTTACCTTCCAGCAAACATCTTCCGACCCACCCCAACCATCCCGCATCGCTCCACGCATACACCTGTTCTCTCGAGACCTCTCATAGAGTGCCTTTCCTCCGGATACAACACAATCCCGCCGGAAGGCCCCGCTCCTTCGGCCCGCCTTTGCATGTCCCAAGTATCACTGTCGAGGATGCAATGAGCCTTTGGTATATGTCACGAGTGCGTTACAAGCTGGTAGGAAGGAAGCCTTTCGCTCCAAAACGTATGGAGGTCTCCAGCCGACAAAAAACATCGGCAAGTCGTGCCCCCTGGCTGGATTGAACAACCGACCTTTCCATAGGTCAACAACTGAATGTGTCAGTCGTTATTCTACGAGTGGAACGCTCTACCACTGAGCTAAGAGGGCTGTTGTCGTTGTGTAGAGTGAGCTGGGTGAATGACTCTGGTGAGTACTTGTAGAAATGGCTAAATTTTGCGCATAGAGGCACGCAGGCGCTAATAATAGGACGGTAGTTGCCCTGGTGAGTACTCTACTGGTAACTGCGAAAAGGCTAAATGTAGAATTGGAGCAGGGACTGCAATCTCTGCGACCGGCTACGCTGAAGGTTACCGTCAAGTTCAATTCTCGAATGTGGACCATTTCTGCGAGTTTCAGGCAAAGATGGTGGTTTTGAACTGGAGATATCGGATTGTGCGCACGAGTGTCGGATTTATCGGCCAGATGCCAATCCATGATGGCGTTGCCAAACAACAAACACGGATTCTCACCAACACCGAGGCACCGCCCTTTGCCCTCTCACGCTGTCCACTGCCTCCAACGCTCGTCTTTTACAGCAAATCGATGGCCCCAGAAATGGCGAGAACCCTGGCTCAAAGCACTGGATGCTAAACTGTCAAGGTCGGAAAATCGGAAAGGGAACGAACCGACGTGAAAGAACAAGAGATAAAGTGCAGAAATGGGCAATTGCGGGAACGGGCATACTAGTAGTGGTGCGTTATTCATCTCCGTACCCTCCATCTCCGAGTCTAACTAGTCCATTCTTAGTACCTTTTGTTTCTTTTTTACACCCTGAAGATACGCTTTGCGCCACATGATGCTGTCCTCGTCTATCCAGACTTTTATCGAGGGATCCATGTGACGTACTCTCCATACTCTTTGGACAAAACGGCCAAAGGTTGATACCGCCATGAGGTCGGCGTTTTGAGGGCGCTCTTTAAATATACCCGTTCTGGTCCTTTTTATTGAGGTCGAGGCGGGATCTTTTCTACTCGGCGTTTTCATTCCCTTTCCCTTCCTATCCCTCATCCCTACCATGGCGAATGCGATAAGCAGTCGAGCGATGAAGAGCTTCGAGGAGGCGACGGATGATAATACATTGGGAGCAGTCTTTTTGGGTGTTATTGGATCAGGAGTGTACGTGTATCATTCTTACTTCCGTGTCCATAAGCTGAATGGAAAACAGGCTATTCGGTGTTACCTGCCTACAAGTGTACATCTACTATCATCGTTTTCTAAAGGATTCGGCTTTGCACAAGATCCTGGTGCGCTCTCTACACTTTTTCCACATCGCAAGTTACTGACGCCCACTCTCCAGGTTGCCGTACTTTGGTATGTTGTCTACAGGGTCAAAAGGCTATGTATGGCTAACAAGCTCATAGGATACTGGATGCACTACATCTAGCATTGACAGTTCATGTCGTATATCATTACCTCGTGAGCAACTTTGGGAATCATGCAGAGTATCCGAACATCATATGGTACGTGGAGCGCTATTTGTATTTTCGTGATACTGATATCTACCTCCAGGTCGCTCAAAGTTTGTCTTTGCTTTATGAGATTGACGAATGATCAGCTTATGATTGCATATGACTCTACAGCTTCAAGTTGCTGTCAATGTGTGTCTATTTGACATTCTTCCGCTTTCACCGTAATGCTGACCTGTTATGTTGCAGGTTGTCATTATCTTGATCGTGCAAAGGTGTGTAAGCTTTCGGCGCCTCCTTCGATACAAGACTCAACGCACTCTCCAGCTTGTACGCCTACCGAGTATGGCTGCGTCAGTCGCTTCTTCTAGTTCTCTTCATCACATGCTGACCCTGGGTACCCAGTGGGAGGTTATCATCATGGCATCCTAGGCTACCTTGTCGTAAGTCTAATACTTTCATCCACATGCATTCGGCTGATATCAGGTTAGGCATCAGTCGTGGCTGGCGGTTTCGGTGGGTACACTTCCGGTAGTCGTAGTCTGCAAGTCTAATCGAAGCGCATTGGGCATGTGCAGCTATTGGAATTAGTGAGTCACTGCATGCTATCATTGATGTAACCTGACTAACCCTTTCATAGTACTCGCGTATCAAGTGTGAGTAGCGCCCACAGGTCCAACGCTATCGCCTCGCTAATCTGATTCACTAGCTATTCTGTGGATACCTTTGCTAAACTCGAGGATATCGCTGTAGGTCTGGTCACCTTCAGCTCGAATTATATCTGACCGCTCGGTATCTGCAGTGGGCAATCAATGCTTCCTTGGCAACATCGACGACGATTGACTTCCTCATATCCTCGGCGATGTGCTACTACTTGTGGAAATCAAAGTGTAATGATTCGCGCTCAAGGTATGCGATCAGATGCATCATAAGATGAGGTTACTGATAGGCAATGTAGACTAAACTCGAGGATATCAACGGTCATGCAATATACCTTGTGCTCCGGGCTGCTCACCAGGTATGCTCTTTCAAACGTTCAGTGTGATATTGAGCGCTCAGGTCATTCTTCTCCCCAGCGCATGTTCACTATCCACGCTCTTTACGGTACGCTCTTCCTCCTCGTATCATCTTAGCCTTGCTCATCCCAGGATTACAGTATAACCTGATGCCCAACAACTTTATTTTTCTTGGTCTCGAGTTCCTCCTGACAAAACGTAAGTTGCGCTCCCTCTCGTGTAGTACTTTAGCTGAACGTGTCGTTAGTCTACGTTGGATCCTTCTTGGCTATGCTCAACGCACGTAAATCCCGGCATCGAAAGTGTAAAAACGAGACTGCGGAAGATGATTCGTCTTCGCTTGCCTTTCGGAATCTGAACTTCAAGATACAAACTACCATCCAGACCGAAACACATCGCGGATCATATGTCCCTTCGTCAGCTAGCACGTCGCAGAGCGGCGACAGTACGTATGTGGTGAGTTTCCGGTCGCTACTTGTGCATGAGTTTCACCTCAACGTCTCTCTTTACCAGAGCTTTGACGATAGAGCAAAGAACTGGGATATTGAGAGTCAAACACTACCCTTGGAGGAAGCTGTGCTACCTGGACGACAATGTACGGTTGTGGTATGTCCTTGTTATTCGCTTCCTGTTCACGTTTGCTCACGGCAAAGTAGGCTCAGCAGAAGCAAAGGCCAGATTATATGGCACAGTGGTGAATGGTATACCAAGAAAGGAGTTATGGGAATTGGAATTTGTAGGTTACTTGTGATCAGTGGAGACGGCGTCTCCCTGTCATCTTAGGCTGTATATCACTGTTCGTTCTTTACATTGGTTATTGATGTTGTACCTTCGTTTACCTATACCTGTATGTACTTTAATGTACCTGGAAATGTACAGTAATAATAGTGTCCGCCCAACGGCAAGAATGAATAAATGTCACGCTGTGACGCAGGCCGCTGACGCGTCTCTAACCACGACCATCACTATCGAAGAACCAGGCACCTCATCGAATTGCGTCCAGTACAAGGTATACTCACTCTGACTTATCCTTTTTTTGCATCACTGAGCGTTACTTGTAGCATTCGTTTTCATATCTACATGTAAATTGACCTAAAATACTTGGCGCACCGTCGGCTTACGGTGACTTGCTTGTTCATCCCGGGGCAGGCACACCAAACTTCAGTTCGGAATGTTCGGAAGCGAGGGTGAATAAAGCAGTGGATTAGAAGTCTGATAAATGCAAGATGGAACGAGGAAACAACGTGGAACCCTACAATAAAGAGGTTCTACCTTTGATAACAACGGTGCGATCCTCGCCGGTCTGGCTTGAATGGAACTAACCAGAGCTGCACGTTCGTTTGATTGGAAGCAGCTTGGCGGACAATTTGTTCTCATATCGTCCATCCTGGAGTTGGTGCTAGATTTTCTTCCCTTGACGCCGAAGGTGATAGACGGCATGAATGAACTTGCAAGAATCAAAGAACTGACACTGCAAGCGCCTGTCCCGGAAAAACCGTCAGGTCCTGCGAAAGTACGTCTCTTCTAATGTTGTTCCGTGCTCTCCGCTCACTAATCTCTCAACGACCTTGACGTGTATACTCGCACTACAACTCTCTGTCACCCAATTCATACAGCTACCACAATCCGCTTCCGTGCTTTCCATTACTATCTTTGGATACCACGAGATCAATGTGCTACCCACTAGCGCTGGTATACTTAGCAGACGCCCGTGTGGCCACCCTGAGTCACGGTTAGTCTAATTGTTCATATTGGCATCAAACACTGATGGCTATTTAGTGCAAAGATGTTTCGATAGGTGTCGATAATGACGACTTACGCGGTGCCAGGAATGGAGGATAAGTCACTGGACTCTTTCAGAAGACCAAATGTCAGTACTATCGGTTACGGTCAATCAACCGGTAATTCAATAACTTCCTTCTGCTGTGCTGTATACTCCGACGTCTTCGGCACTTCTTGGAGTAAACCTCCCGGCGCAAGTATCAGTACCTCAGTTCCTTGCCCACCGCCGTGTATCAACGTACAATCAAGCCGCTGGGCACCCCGGAGTGTGTTCCCAAGGAGCCCACTTTGCCCATCTCATCCCCAGGATGAGCTTCTATCGGAAGCATCATTGACACTGGAACGTGGTCCGGGACTATATCTCATGTCACTGAAACTGATCGATAATATATCAGATGACGTTCTAGGAAACATTTTGGAAGGAACAGGCTCTACGTCGAGCTTTGGGCGAGCATTATCCTGTCTGGCGTCAGCGCCAGCGCGCACTGAGCGCTCGTGGGCGCCTGCCAGTCTCGTAACCAATAACTAATACATGGTACTTCCGGATGTCATACCGAGTGAGCGCTACCGGATTGATTTTGTGTACAAGGCTATGATCATCTTATAGGTAATACTCTTCGTATCATCACGCCGCGAGCGGCGTATATATATATATGCCAAGTTATCCCTCATCTGTGCACGCCTTCCAATGCCTCCCCGCTTCCAGACACATCTCTCGAATCTCGAAAGAGCCGTTTCTCTATGGCCCAGCGCGACGGCGTTCAAAATACCAATCATAGACAGGTCAAAGGTGCCGGATTCGCCGCACATATCGGGATATAGTGTTGTCACATACACAGAGCTCTACCAAGACGTCCTCCGCTTCGCAGAATACTGGGCTTGGAGATTACAGAAAGCGGGAATC